TGGCTGAAATTTTTTATAGATATTATAGATAAAATCATTTGACACGTATTTCAGGATTTTGTCGGCAAAATTTTTTTTCGTTGATATTTACGATTGAAATATTGCCGATTTTCTCAATTTTTATGAACTTCCTCTGCATTATGTTAATTATCTTCAGTTGTGTTGATCACATCAGTATTATTTTTTTATTATATTCATTAAGAACTCAACTTTGAAGCAATTTGAAAAAAATAATGTTTTTGCAATTATTTAACAATAATATCAATTGATTGTTTACATTGGTTTTACATATGCGCGCCCCAACTTAAATCGATTGCGTAAAAAATCATATTGTTTCTTTTTTTATTTACTACAAAATTATTTTTACAATTCCATGGAAAGGCAGACAGACAGACAAAAGTATTTATTACAGTAATTAAGAATACATTTTGCATTGCTATTTTTAGTATATATTTTTCTACTCTTGGGTACTTTATACATCATATCTGATCTTAATATATACAGTAAATATTTATTGTTACTACAGCGAGATGTTTGACAAATTGAGTGGCAAATAAAGAGGAAAGAAAACTTTTCCTCAAAAAAAAAAATCACAGAGCAATATTTATAATTATACATAATTATACAAAAAGAAGAAAAACAAAATAAAAGTTTTTTCAACTTTAAAAAACTGTGTCGAGCCAAGTATTATTTGCCGCTATGGTTCGATCAGTATATAGTTTGGCATGGCGTGATTGTTATACCAAATTACTTCTCTAGTGTATTGGCCGAGGCCCGCGATGTTAGTATTAGGATGATCCCCGCATTTTAGATAAAAAATTTTGGTGAGCTTTTTTATATAGTCGAGTATTGTCGGTACGTCAGTCTGTTTGTGTATGTATTTTGAAGAGTAGTAATGTGTAGTCAGTGGGTCCCTTATTTTGTTGAGTACGAGTCGTAGTGTCTTATTTTGTAATATTTGTAGTTTCCGTAAGTTAGTCTTAGTTGTCGCGTTCCATGCCGGAGCGGCGTATGTCAGTAACGGTTTTATTAGTGTCAAGTAAAGTGCCCGCTTGTTCTTCACGCTTAGCGGGCTGTTGTGGTTCAAGAGAGGTCTCAGTAGATTTAACATCCCGTAAGCCTGTCCAATTTTCGTGTTGATATGTTTTGTGAAGCTGAGTCTATGGTCCAGGCCATACTTTAATTTTGTCCAAGTCAGTCAGTCTAGTCGTGGCATTTCGGCTTTTTGTAAATAGAATTTCCTCCGTCTTTTTCAGATTGATCTTAATTTGCCATTTGTCAGTATATTCAGTTAGCTTGTCCATGTGTGTCTGTATTTTTGTAGTCAGTAGCGTAGGCGATCGTGATGATTTGTATATGGCAGTGTCGTCAGCAAACGTCAGTAACGTTTTGTCCGGCGTCAGTGAGTATGTCGTGAATGTAGACGTTAAACAGTGACGGTCCCAGGATCGAGCCCTGCGGTACTCCCGCCGTCACTTGCTTAACCATCGAAAGTCCGCTGTCTACTTGTACGGTAAAGTTGCGGTCTGAGAGGTATGAGTGTAATGCTCTTGAAATGTATGGTGGAAAGTTGAGTTGGATAAGTTTATGTATAAGTCCGTCCATTCAGATGGTGTCAAACGCCTTCTCAAAGTCGAGTAACACCAATCCGGTATGGTCGCGTCTGTTGAAATTGAGAACTGTATTTTCTATGAGTTTTGTCAGTGGGTGTAGTGTGGAGTGTCGTTCTTTGAATCCGTATTGTGTGTCAGGTATAATTTTGTTGTGTCTTATGTGTTTGTTAAGTCTTTTGAGTAGTACCTTTTCGACTACCTTACTCATTGTGTTGAGGAGGTTGATCGGTCTGTAGTTCTGTGGTATGTCTGGCTGTTTCCTTGGCTTCACTATTGGAAATATGGTGGAGGTTTTCCAAGAAGCGGGAAAGCAGCCTTTTGTCATTAGTCTATTTATTACGCGGGTAAGTAAAATGTAGGCGTTCGTCGGCAGTTGTTTAAGTATTATGTTTTGTCGTCCGTCCGGTCCTGGTGCTTTCCTGTTCGGTAATTTTTTAACTATTGTTTTTATTTCGGAAACTGTGGCAGGGTCTATTCGTAAGTTTTTGTCCCTGTGGAGGTCAGTGAAGTTTTGAATTGTCTCGTGTGCGTCTTGTTTCAGGTCTGCGTTTGACGTATTGGCATTTTGTTTATGTGTGTTCTCAAAGTTTTTTGCCAATATTTCCGCTTTGTCTGCTGGTGTCGTTGCGTAATTGTTGTCAATTAATTTGAGTGGAGGTATAGATGCTGGTTTCCGCGTCAGTCTTTTTGCTGTTTGCCAAATTTTGTGTGGGTCAGATTTATGTTCTCGAGTCTTTTGGTCCAAGTGTTGTTTCGGTGGTCATGTATTTCATTGTCACCGGTACGTTGCCACAGTTTCTTCGTACGATTTTTAAATTCTATTTTCAATAAAATATGTTGACTAGTCTTTTGGAATTTTTTTTTTTCCAAATTTTTTTTGACCCAATTTTTTTTGACCAAAATTTTTTGGGCCAAAATTTTTTTGACTAAAATTTTTTGGACCAAAATTTTTTTTACCAACAATATTTTGTTAAAAAATTTTTTGCCCAAAAATTTTTTTGACCAAATTTTTTTTCACAAATTTTTTTTCCAAAAAATTTTTTTTCCAAATTTTTTTTTTCAAAATTTTGTTGACCAAAATTTTTTTTTCCAAAATTTTTTTACCAAAATTTTCTTGACCAAAAATTTTTTTGACCAAAATTCTTTTTCCAAAATTGTTTTGGCCAAAAATTTTTTTGACTAAAATTTTTTTTCCAAAATTTTGTTGACCAAAATTTTTTTTCCAAAATTTTTTTTCCAAAAATTTTTTTGACCAAAATTTTTTTGACCAAAAATTTTTTTGACCAAAATTTTTTTTCACAAAATTTTTTTCCAAAAAATTTTTTTCCCAAAATATTTTTTTCCAAAATTTTTTTGACCAAAATTTTGTAGACCAAAATTTTTTTGACCAAAATTTTTTTTACCAAAATTTTTTTGACAACATTTTTTTTGACCTATTTAGGACCAAAATTTTTTTGACCAAAATTTTTTGGCCCAAAATTTTTTTGACTAAAATTTTTTGGACCAAAATTTTTTTTACCAAAAATTTTTTGCCCAAAAATTTTTTTGACAAAATATTTTTGACCAAAAATTTTTTTGACCAAAATTTTTTTTCACAAATTTTTTTTCCAAAAATTTTTTTTTCCAAAATTTTTTTTACCAAAATTTTTTTGACAAATTTTTTTTTGACCTATTTAGGACCAAAATTTTTTTGACCAAAATTTTTTGGGCCAAAATTTTTTTGACTAAAATTTTTTGGACCAAAATTTTTTTTACCAAAATTTTTTGGGCCAAAATTTTTTTGACTAAAATTTTTTGGACCAAAATTTTTTTTACCAACAATATTTTGTTAAAAAAATTTTTTGACAAAATTTTTTTTGACCTATTTAGGACCAAAATTTTTTTGACCAAAATTTTTTGGGCCAAAATTTTTTTGACTAAAATTTTTTGGACCAAAATTTTTTTTACCAAAAATATTTTGTTAAAAAATTTTTTTTCCAAATTTTTTTTTTCAAAATTTTGTTGACCAAAATTTTTTTTTCCAAAATTTTGTTGACCAAAATTTTTTTTCCAAAATTTTTTTGACCAAACATTTTTTTGACCTAAATTTTTTTTCACAAAATTTTTTTCCAAAAATTTTTTTTCCCAAAATATTTTTTTCCAAAATTTTTTTGACTAAAATTTTGTAGACCAACATTTTTTTGACCAAAATTTTTTCTACCAAAATTTTTTGACATTTTTTTTGACCTATTTAGGACCAAAATTTTTTTGACCAAAATTTTTTGGGCCAAAATTTTTTGACTAAA